CCCTGGGCACTGCTCATGCCAACACCCCCAGAGCCCTGGGCACTGATGGTGCCCAACCCCTGCTGCCCAAGCTCCCAGGAGGGTGGCACCCCACTCAAACTGGTGGAGGGAGTGTGTGCCCCTCGTTCTTCCCATTTTCACCTGGGCAGTTTCTCTCCTGCAGCACGCTCCTCATCCCTGTGACCCCAGTCCCCGTGACCCCATTAAAGGCAAGCCTAGCTCTTGTTTCTGATTTCTCCCCTGAGTGAGGATGCAGAGCTGTGATTGCTGCTGTCCCTGCAGCCTCCCAGGGCAGCAGCCAGAGCCTCCCTCCTGTTAAATGTGATTTAACCATTTCTCTCTGTGGCAAGGCCACAAGAACACAACACACGCTGGGAGGTGCAGCTTTGAGTTTACTTCAAGTGCAGCGAGGTTCAAGCAGGAACAGGGTTTTATCTCTGAAGGAAGTGGGGTTTCTTGTGGCACAGCCTCTTTTTGGGCCATCTCTGCTTCTGCCAGGGGGGTTAGCACAGCCCTGAGACAGGAAGGGACAGACTCCAGGACAGAGTGAAGGGTGTGCACTGATCAAGCCTTTTGGGTTCCCGAGGAGACAGGAGGGAGCTGAGCCTTCAGCAGGGGCAGGAAGGAAGCTCTTGCAGTGTCCAGGGCCACACCAGAGCTGGAGAAAGTGCTGCCACTGCCACTACTTCTTCATGACTTTCTTGATCCAGGGCAGGTAGTTGGAGATGCGGGTGTAGACCCCGGGTGGGGAGTCGTAGCCAAAGGAAACAATGCCTTGTGCCACTTTATTGCACACCAGGGGCCCACCAGAATCTCCCTGGGGAGAGATGAGATTGATTTTAGAGGTCATTTTCCTGTGGTAACAGATTTACCCCTGGTCCCTCCCTGCCCTGGGGCTCCGTTCATGCCCCACATCCCACCCAGCTGGGGGGGCTGCCCTGGGCTGGTGAGCTGGGGTGAGCTGGGGTGAGCTGGGCAGGGGCTGTGGCTGGTGTCAGGACATCCAGAGAGCCAGAACTGTGATCAAATTCCTGTCAGCTGCCCTGGGAGCTGCTCCTGCAGCAGCTCCTGCTCCCAGAGCAGCCCCTGTGCCCCCCGTACCTGGCTGGAATCCTTCAGCTGGTGGAAGCTGCCTGCACACACCATGCCAGAGTCCAGGTGGGGGTAGAAGAGGGTGCATTTCCTGCGGCTGTAGATGGACACTTTGGTCTCAAAGAGCTTGTTGGTGGCCCTGTCCTCGTCGATCAGCCCCCAGCCTGCAATCGTGCACTTGGTGCCCGTGGGGAGGTCGCTGCCCGTCCTGGGCAGGGCGATGGGCTGGACGTACTCATTGAGAGTGACCTTTGATGTCAGCTGGGGGAAAGCAGGGGGTTGAGAGAGCGTCCTGTGAGCAGGACACTCACTCTGCAGAGACAGGCAGGGTCTAGCAGGCCCAGGGAGCTGCTGTGAGAGCCACATGAGGCTCCAACCCTGCTCATGGCTCCTTCCCAGGTCCCTCCCAGCCCTGCCAGCCTCCAGCACCTTGGGCAGGAGCAGCTTTGGAGAAGGAGCTGACAGCTAGGACGAGCCCTGCCCAGCCCCTGGTGGCCCCAGAGCCCCTCTGTCCCCTCAGAACTCCTTGCCTGCAGCAGCATGATGTCGTTTTCCACCGTGCTGGGGTTGTACTCAGGGTGCTCGTGGTACTTGAGGACTCCCCGGACCTGCTGGGTTTTCTCTGGCTCGTGGATGTTGTGAGCCCCCAGGATGACTGTGGTATTCCTGGCCATGGCAGAAGGAGGGGGAAAGGGGAAATCGGGCTGGGTGTCACCCCCTCCCCACCTCATTTTGGCACACAGGTGGAGAGAGCTGCCCAGCACAGGAGGGACCTGCTCCAAAATTGCTCCAGGGAAGGAGCTCCCGGGCTCTGAGAGACAGAAAGAGATTAAACCCCTGCATCAATACTCACCCCATGCAGTGTGCAGCTGACATCACCCAGTCAGGGGCCACCAGGAAGCCCCCACAGCTCCCCAGCTCTGCTATCTTCAGGAACGCCATGTAGGGGTGCGAGTGGGGCCGCGCCTCGTGGCCCCCCACGATCCCACCCCGCACAGCACCTGCAAGACACCCCAGCACGGCGTGAGCCAGGGGCTGCTGAGAGCCCCAAAGGAGCCAGCTCACCCCCAGCAAGGCCCTGACTCACTGGCACTGGCCCAGGGGCAGCAGAGCAGGAGCAGCAGGGCTGGCACTGCCTGGGGCTGGCACATCTCTGCACGGCTGGGTGCAAGTCCTGAGTTTTTCCCTGTGGCCAGGAGTTGGTTTTATAGCTGCAGGCAGCTGTGCCCAGCAGCCAGGAAACCATGTGCAAAGGGCTGATTGGGCTAATCAGGGCATCTCTGGCCTGGCTTGCTCAGTGCCCACGTGCCCCCGGCTGGCATTGATGGGTGATAGCCCAGGGTGGAAAGGATGGGGCAGGCAGAGCCTGGCACAGCTCAGTCACAGCCTCAGGGGGTGCTGGCAGCAAGAGAAAGGTGATCTCTGGTGGTTTTGAGGTGTGATTTCATATTTCTCTCACACTTTCTGTTTAATGTTTTTGGCCTAAGGAAATGCAAGGTTCTAAAAAAAAGCCACTTTAAAAAAAAATCAGAAAATCTTGGCCATTTAAAGTCGTTAGTGAGGAGACAATCCTGAAACTTGCTCTTTCATATTCTCGTTTTCCTTTGAGAGATGCTCTGCAGAGCCTCTTTCCTACAGAGACCCACCATCACCCCAGCCAATTTAAATTAAAGGGGACATCAGCTGCGCCTGGGATGGTTTTTGAGCACTGTGAAAAGTCAAATCTGCAGGGTTTGGGTCAGCCCAGGTCAGAGGGGCCTTCCTGGCTCTTCTTGGCTCCTCTGGGGCCAAAGCCTCCTGCCAGCCTGGGGACTGGGATGTGGGAAGTGCTGCTCTGCAATAGAGAAGACCAAAAGAGAAGACCAAAGCGGGGAAGTGCAACCACTCAACTGCCAGTGATCAGTCATTTTTAAACCAAGCCTGCTCCACCCTTCCTGGAGCAGAAAAACACCTGCAAGTGGATGCCTTGGGGCCATGCAGAGGGGACAGGAGGGGTGCATGGGCAGGGAGAGATGTGGGACAGAAATGTGGGTGCCTGATGTCCATGAGCCAGCCTGGGGTCTGCCTGACACATCTCTCCACAGAGCTGAACCCATGTTTTGGTGTTTTAAATCATATCTGAAAACACAGGCTTTAATCAGGACGGTGCAGCAGCACAGCAGGAAAACCTCAAGAGGAATCATCGATATTTTATCTTGTGTTTGTACCTTTCTGCCTTTGCCCTGCAGTTACTTGTGGCTGGAAACCCTCCTGGGAGCAGCAGCCCCAGGAGAGGAGGGACAGGCCATGGCACAGGGAGCTGAGCTGCTCTCCTGCTCCTCTCTGACTGCAGACAAGTTCCTCTCTCTGAGGTCAAGGTATTTTGGCCTTCCTGTTGACCTCTGGAGGGTTCCAGGGCTTCTCTGCTGAGGAGCCTCATCTCAGCATCCATCAATAGCTGCTTTAGGCAAGGAACTGGAGCAGGTCCATGGGGCTTCAGGTGTCCCCCGTGCCTCCCCTGGCCCTTCCCAGCCCAGCACTCAGGGCCACCAGGCAGTTCCAGGCAGATTATGGCTCTGATCTGAAGGAAAAGATGGAAAACCTTGCAGGAGGGGGTGTCCCTCCCCTGCTCACCAGGAGTGAGCTCCTGGTGCTGAACATGCAGCCCTGCACTCGTGGCCCATCCTTCCTGCTGATTTCTGCTCCTTCAATCTCGGGTCATCTGCTGACCTTATCACTGTGAGCTTCTTTCCCCACTTGGTTCAAAGAGAGAACATCTGAACTGGGCTGGCAGCAGAGGAGAAGGGCCAAGATCCTGCTCAGACTGGGGCTGTGCAGAGGGCAAGGGGGACAAGGCAGAGCAGGAATTCTTCTTCATGTGGGGCTCAGACCCCATTAGCCCCCAGTCATGGATGTGTTTGTGGAAGGGGCATTTTTTAGGAAGATCCTTCGATCTTTTGCTGGTCCAGAGAACCTGAACACCAAGGGTGAGGGGGTCAAGCTGTCCCAGCAGCTCATCTGCCTCGACTCAAAAGGGTTTGCCTGCCCCATCCTCTCCACAGATCTCTCAGGAATCTCTGAGACTCCTCACACATTGCCAGCTCTTGGAGAAGCTGCTTAGAGCCCCTGACAAGGCAAGTTTCTCCATCCTCTGACCTTTCAGGAACATTGGACAATACCCTTTTCCTGACCCAGAGATAACCCAGACCCAGAGACTCAGAACTTTCTATGAAGCCCTAAAAACTCTACAAATCCATTTCCCAAAATCAAGCCCTAAAAACTCTCAACAAATCCATTTCCCACATTCCACCAGCTCCGTCCTGGACGGAGTGGACAGGGGTGATGTGCCAGGGTCACTCTGCCCCTTTGGATTCCAGGGCTCTGGGGAGGGTTTGGCAGTGAGCTCCTGGTGCTGATCATGCAGCCCTGCACTCGTGGCCCATCCTTCCTGCTGATTTCTGCTCCTTCAATCTCGGGTCATCTGCTGACCTTATCACTGTGAGCTTCTTTCCCCACTGCTGATAGAAAAGGCCAAAACCCCAGCTGAAAGGGTGAAGGTGGAGGATGGAGCCCTCAGCTTTTGGTGAGAGCCACTCTTGCTTGCACGTGGCTTCCTGCAGGAGCCTCCTTTGCATTTTCCTCCTGTCTTTGCTGCCATTCGGGCTGGGATCAATCCATGCAGGGATGGATGGGCTCCCTGGACAGCTCCCTGCTGAGGGGAGAGCTCACTGCTCTTGGCTCTCAGCCTGGGGACATCTCCATGGCTTCCAGTTGGAGGCAGAGCCCAGGGGCAGCAGGGCACAGCTTCTGCTGAGTTAAAAGACGCCCTGCTTTTCTTTCATCTCAGCCACTCCGAAGCTGATTTGGGTGGGGTCCACCCTGCACAGAAATGTGGTTGATGGTGTAACTTCCCCTTTTTTCACTTTGATAGGTAGAAGCCACACTTATATTGCACGAGGAGCTGTCCCCGCTACCTGCACCATGCTGGGCCTCAGACGAGGAGCTGCAGAGCACTGCTGAACCTCCCTCGGGCAGCAAGAGCCTCCCACAAGCCATGCCAGGTGAGTCCAAAGGCAAATTCCCAGCCACAGTTGGGAATAGCACGTTCCAAGGCTCTCCTGTTGAGTTTTGCCAACATAAGGGATTAGGCCAATGCTGGAAATTAGCATTTCAGCCACGCTCTCATTCCTTGGTTCTGGTCTCAGCACTCTGTGCCTCCTCAAAGGTTTTTTTTTGCCTCCTTCCCTGCCTGTGGGAGGATCCTGACCCGTCTCTAGCAGGTGCTTGGTGAGTTGAAGGTGTAGCAGGAGTGCCAGGGCACGTGCTCAGCTTGGAGCAACTGGTTTCCTTTGGAGTGGAGGGGCTGAGGCTCAGCTGCAGCCCCACAGGTGCCAGGAGCTGCTGCACAGACAGGATGGATGTGTCTGGATGTGTTCTGAGAGAGTGGCAGGAGCTGGGCCCGTGCAGTGACAGCATGGATCTTCCTCTGAAGGAGGAATCTGAGCATGGCACAGGGCAGCAGTGGCTCTCTCAGGCTCAGGGGTGAGCTGAGCAGCACAGCAAGCAAAGCACTTTGTGTCTCAAGCTGTCTGGGTGCTTTCACCAGCACTTGGATCTGTTCGGCCCCCCAGACCCCACCCATCAAGGTGTTGGCCCGTTTGACGCAGCCTGCTCCAACCCTGGCACGTTTCTTCTTTCATGTCACACCTTCACAACCACAGCAAAGCTGAGAATAATCAGACCCTTACCAAGAAATGATGAGAGCTGTTAGAAGAGATGTCAATGCTGTCAGTCACAACAGGAAACTTTATTAAACAACAGGAAGCCCATGTTCATGGGTGGACTTACAAAACACCTCACCCTCCTCTCCCCTTGCTCTTCCAGTGCTGCAGGGCTGGCTGACAGGGCTCTGACTCTCACCTCCACTGAGCAGGGCTGGGTTCAGCCTCACAGCTGCTCCAGCCCTCAGACAGAGGCTCTGCTCTGCACCCGACCCCTTCCAGCACCGAGCATCCCCTGAGTGCTGTCCCAGGCTCAGAAGATGGCTGCTCCAGTGCTGGGCTGGCTGGTGAACCACTCCCTGCTCCTCCCCCTGGACTCTGCCCAGCTGCTGGGCACAAAATCCTCCTGCCTGCAGCTGGCCGCCACGAGGAACGTGAACATCATCCTGCAGCACTACAACTTCTCAGGCAAGCTCACCACCCGGCCCTCCGGCGACGAGGGCATGGGGCCGCTCCGCATGGCCTTCGCCATCATCAGCTGCCTCATCATCCTGGAGAACCTGCTGGTGCTGCTGGCCGTGCTGCGCTGCCTGCGGGGCCGGCGCTGGGTCTACTCCTGCATCGCCAGCATCACCCTCAGCGACCTGCTGGCGGGCATCGCCTACCTCTGCAACCTCTGCCTGTCGGGCAGCAAGACCTTCCAGCTGTCCCCGCAGCTCTGGTTCCTGAGGGAGGGCATCCTCTTCATCGCCTTGGCCGCCTCCACCTTCAGCCTGCTGGTGACGGCCGTGGAGCGCTACAGTGCCATGGTGAGGCCCATCGCGGAGAACGAGGCCAGCAAGACCCTGCGCCTGCGCGGCCTCATCGTGGCCTGCTGGCTGCTGGCCCTCGTCATCGGGCTGCTCCCGCTGCTGGGCTGGAACTGCCTCTGTGATTTCCAGGCCTGCTCCGTGCTCCTGCCGCTCTACTCCAAGAATTACATCCTCTTCTCGGTGGTGATGTTCAGCATCATCCTGCTGGGCATCATCGGGCTCTACATCTCCATCTTCCACCTGGTGCAGGCCAGCTCCAGGCAAACCTGCTCCCGGCACGGCCGCCGGCGCTCGCTGCGCTTGCTGAAGACGGTGCTGATGATCCTGGGGGCCTTCATCCTCTGCTGGAGCCCCCTGTTTGTCCTGCTGCTCTTTGACGTGTTCTGTGACACGGGGGCCTGCAGCCACCTGCACAGCCTGGACTGGACGCTGGCCCTGGCGCTGCTCAACTCGGGGGTCAATCCCGTCATTTACTCCCTGCGCAGCGTGGAGGTTCGCCGCGCCGTGGGGAGCCTGCTGTGCTGCTGCTGCCTCAGGGCCGGGCTCTGCGGGCCCGGCAGCTGCGTGGCCATCTCGGACATCAACTCCGGCTCCTCCACGGAGAGCTCCCTGCGCGGCCGCGACAGCTTCCGCAGCTCCGTGGCCTGGAACGCGCGGCCCAGGGCGCCTCTGTCCAGCAACTCCAGCATGATGAGCAACCTGCCCAGTCTGTGAGGGGCCACGGCGAGGGCACGAGGGGCCACACAGCCCCCGGGACCTCGTGGTGCTGCTGCTGGCCTGGCAGAACCGTAGCAAGGCTGGCCAGTTGTGAGCTGGGCCAGGATCTGCAGTCCCATCAGACTGGGGTGGACTCAGGCTGGGTGCAGCACGGGGTCAGGGATTGCTCCCAGGCTGGGAGTGACAGACACAGACACTTTTTGGGATGGATGCTCTGCTGGGACAGCTAGGGTCGGGGATTGCTCCCAGGAACATTTTGGGATGGATGCTCTGCTGGGACAGCTGCAGTGTTCAGGTTCTCTGTGTGCTTTGGGTGTGCAGAGGTGCTGTAGCTGCCCACCCGAGGGTGCTTTGCCCCAGGGCACACTGGCAAATAGGGTGGATTTTCCCAACCAGGTGGCCCTTCCAAGCCTTTGGAATCCTTTTGGACCTTCTCTGATGGGCACAGCTGCTGGGAAGGAATGCAAGCTTGATGTTCTGCCCAGCCCGAGGATGGCAGAGGGCTGCAGCCACAGCCCAGACTCTCCCCAGGGTGCAGAGGCTGGGCACTGAGCCAGGGCACATGCTGTGACTGTGCTCAGAGCTGCAGCCACAGGGCTGGCACTGGCACGGGCAGAAGGAGACTGGGGAGCCTGGTGCCACCCTGGGCCTGAGGACATGGCCAGCTTGTGCCTCAGATCCTGCTCTTCTGCTCTCCCAAATGCCTCCTCTCACCGTGCCAGAAGGCACCAAAGCACTGGGGACTCACACAAATCCTGCTGGCCCAGCCCCTCTGCAAGAGCTGAGTGTGCAACCCATTTGTTTTACAATAAATCAAGGTGATCAGAAAGCCTTGGGTTGATTTCCTTCGATATTTTTTCCTCTGGAGGCCAGGTACTGCCTGGGGGATGTTTTTGTAGTCTGGGGACAGCTGTGGCTGCCCTCCTGTTCTTGGGACAGGGGGATTGCCCTGCTCAGGGGGCAGCAGGAGCCTCCTGCCTGGTCCTGTTCATTCCATCCCATCCTGTCCTGTCCCATTTATCCCATCCTGTCCTGTCCTGTCCCTTTTATCCCATCCCACTCCATCCTGTTCATCCCATCCTGTCCCGTCCTGTCCCTTTTATCCCATCCTGCTCCATCCTGTTCATTCCATCCTGTCCGGTCCTATCCTATCCTATTCATTCCATCCTGTTCATCCCATCCTGTCCCATCCCATCCCACGAATCCTGTCCTATCCCATCCCATAGATCCCATCCCATACCACGGATCCCATCCCATCCCAACCCATTGATCCCATCCCATGGATCCCATTCCATCCCATGGATCCCATCCCATCCCACAAATCCCATCCCATGGATCCCATCCCATCCCACAAATCCCATCCCATGGATCCCATCCCATCCTGTGGATCCCATCCCCTCCTATGGATCCCATTGATCCCATCCCATCTCATCCCATCCCATCCCATTAATCCCATCCCATCCCAGCCTATGGATCCCATCCCATCCCATGGATCCCACGGATCCCACGGATCCCATCCCGTGGATCCCATCCCATGGATCCCACGGATCCCATGGATCCCATCCCATCCGCCGGGGGGCGCCCGGAGCTCCGCGCGGAGCGCGCCCCCTGCAGGCCGAGGCGGGGCGGTACCGCGGCCAGCGCGGTCCGCCGCGACTACAACTCCCAGCGCCCCTCGCGGCGGCGCGCGAACTACGGGTCCCGGCGTGCCGCGCGGGGCGCGCCGTGCGTGCGGAGCAGGCCGCAGTGCGGGCCGGGGCCGCGGCGATGCTGGAGGAGGCGGGCGAGGTGCTGGAGTCGGTGCTCAAGGCCTCGTGCCTCCCGCTCAGCGTCCTGCTCTTCGTGCCCGCCGTGCTCCTGCTGCTGGGGCCGCCGCCCGCCGCCGAGGCGGCGCACGAGTTCACGGTGTACCGCATGCAGCAGTACGAGCTGGGCGGGCAGCCCTACGGTGAGGAACCGCGCGGCCCGGCCGGGCGCGGGGCTGCGGCCGTGGGGAGGGAGCCCCGAGCCCGGGGAGCGGCACAGGCTCCCGCGGCCCGGCCTGGGGGAGGCTCGGGGGGCTCTGGCCGGGCCCAGCCGGGGGAGGGCCCCGTCCGGCCGGGTTCCACTGCCCAGGCTCAGCACGGGCGGGAGACGGGCTGGGAGCTCCATCGCGGTGACCTAGAGGTAGCCAGGGAGCCCTGGGTGTGGGCTGGGGGCTCCGGGTTCTGGGGTGCAGCTGCATCCCTCGGCTGAGAGCTCAGCCTTGTCCTTCTGCCTTTGACTCCTTTATCGACACTCTTTGCTCTTCATCCTCTTCATCCTCAGCTCTGTGTTGCTCCAGTGGCTCCATTTCTTAGCCCGTCCTTCCCCTGTGTTAGAACTGACCTTTCCTTCCTCTGTTCTCTCACTTGCAGCCTGCTGATTGTGCAACACCTTTCTTTGGGGCAGAGACACACCCTGTTCTGCAAGTCCTTGAGGTGCTGCAGCCCTCAGCCCCTCCCCTGTGTGCCCACAAGCCCACAATCAAAGGTTGTTTCTGGGTCTTCTGTAGTGATTTTATTCCAGGCCAGGGCATGTGTTCTGTCTGTGGGTGACTCTTCCTTATAGAGTTAACAATGAACAGCCTCACTTTTAATTTGTGCTGTCCATGAGACACCATCTCTCATTCTTCCAGATCTTAATAAGTTCAAATATGTAAGATATGAAATGCAGCTGTGCCTGTGTGCTCCTTAAACACTTCATGCTTCTGCTGGCTTCTAAATAAATGAAATTCTTTCTGGTTCTTCCATCACAGTTTCTCAGAAGGTGTCCACATCTTGAAGGCTCTCTTGCTGCATGGGGTAGGACTTTCTCTCTCTCCTCAGGTGCTGGGAGCTGTTTGTTGACAGGCTTAGCAGGGATGTGATTCAGCTCACACTTTTGTGACCTCTTGAAAAGCCAGGTGTTGTTTTTTTCAGATGCTCCCAGTTAACTTTTTCTGCTGTTTCTTCTCCTGGAGCCTTTGAGCTCGGTGGGCTGTGTGTTTCCTTTGCTCCTTCCTGCTCCCTTTGGGTAGCTGCTGTTCCTGTTCCCTGTGTGCTCTGAGATGTCCTTCAGGATAAAAGCTGCATTTCAGAGCAGTCTGAGTTGGAAGGGACCCACAAGAAGCACAGAGTCCAACTCTCAAAGGGAATAACCCACAGCCATAACCACAGTGTTATTAGCACCATGCTCTGACCAACTGAGCTGATTTGTAGTTCCAGATCCTTGTCTATTTTTCCAAAAATACCAAATAACAGGTTGCTGCTCAGCCTCTTCCTGCAGAGGGAAGAGATTTTTGTCAGCTTCACTCATACAGCAATTTAAGAACAAGCTTGGACTTCCTCTAATATTGATAGAATGAGAATTCTTTAGTTTTTAAATGAGTGATTCCTAACCAGTTCTCTGTAGAGAAGCTACAGAAAATCAGCCTGTCAGGAAAATACTGTTGTGTCTGGGATGTCAGAGAGAGCAGAACTTCAGGTGCACACATTGCTGTGTTTACACATCATTCCTTTGGGAGTGGTGGAGGGATTATCCTCATTTTGAATTGTTTTTCTCTGGTTGGAGCAGAGTGTTAGTGTTTGTTTAGTTTCAGAGGTCTGTGAGGAGAATTCCCATTGTTCCTGGCCTCTGTTTCTGGGCGTGTGGCCCTCACTAATAGTGTGCAGGGGAAATGCAGATTTTTCTTGTTTAGGTGTTTCTGTGACCTTTGACAAGACCAAAGTAATATCACAGTTAAGCTAAGCCAGGTTTAAATCCAGTTCTTAGCAATGCTCCTGTTTGACAGAGGCTGGAGCACCTTGTCTGTCCCTGTGTGGGGACCCAGAATGGTGAGCTCTCCAGTGGAGGTGCCAGAGTTACAGAAGAATAAATTGAATTATAAATTGTGAGGTGGATTTGACCCTCTCCATTTGCACAAGATGTCCTTTTGGCCTCCCTTGGGGAATGCAGGAGCTTCTGGCAAGCCTGCTGTGCTCCCAGGGGATTGCATTTCCACGGGGGGGATTTGATCTGCTGGAACTGAGAGCAGGAGAGGGTGAGCCCTCAGGAGCAGCCTGCTCCTCTGTCACTCTGCCAGCTCCAGAACCTTCCTTGGGGCTGAGTGAGAGCAGCCCTTGGGGTGACATGGGGCAGCCTGGTGTCCTCAGGGTGACATGGGGCAGCCTGGTGTCCTCGGGGTGACATGGGGCAGCCTGGTGTCCTTGGGGTGAGGTGACATGGGGCAGCCTGGTGTCCTCAGGGTGACATGGGGCAGCCTGGTGTCCTTCATCAGGGGCTTCTGCAGCTTGATCCTCCAGCTGGGGGAGGCTCTGGAGAGGCCAGGCTGTGTCCAGCTGTGTTGGTTATTAGGTGCAGGTGAGCAGACAGGTAATCTGTGTGTTGTGTTGGGGAAGAAGACTGCAAGGTGAGGCTGTGGGGTGTGGAACAAGGGGTCTGGCAGGGTGTAGAAATGGAAGGTGAGGCTGTGGGGCATGGAACAAGGGGTCTGGCAGGGTGTAGAAATGGAAGGAGATGCTGTGGAGCATGGAACAAGGGACCTGGCAGGGTGTAGAAATGGAAGGTGATGCTGTGGGGTGTGGAACAAGGTGGGTCTGGAAGGGTGTAGACTGCATGGTGAGGCTGTGGGGTGTGGAACAAGGGATCTGGCAGGATTTAGAATGGAAGGTGAGGCTGTGAGGTGTGGAACAAGGGGTCTGGCAGGATTTAGACTGCAAGGTGAGCCTGGGGGGTGTGGAACAAGGGGTCTGGCAAGATGTGGCTGCAAAGGAAACCCCACAGGCCTCTGCTCCCTCTTGGATGAGGACAAGAAGGCGAACTCAGCTTTCTGCAGCTTCTGCCCTCTCTGCTGCCCATCAGACTGTCCCCAGGAGCGTTGTGAGCAGGAGGCAGGCTGAGCAAGGGGCTGGGGTGCAGTGGCTGAGCAGCCCTCCTGCTTTCCCTGCTGGCAGGCACCAGGAGCGCCGTGCTGAACACGGAGGCGCGCACGGTGGAAGCGGACGTGCTGAGCCGCCGCTGCGTCATGATGAGGCTGGTGGACTTCTCCTACGAGCAGTACCAGAAGGCTCTGCGCCAGTCAGCCGGGGCTGTGGTGATCATCCTGCCACGATCCATCTCCTCTGTCCCCCAGGATGTCGTGAGGGTAAACAAGAAAGTTTTCTTTCCCTTCCCGTGGGAGGTGCATCGGAGGAAAGCTTGGTTGCTGCGGGGCTGGAAGATTCTGTTGTAACGCACAACAAATCCTATTCTAATTTTAAAACTTCCCTCTGTGCTTTGGTTGTTGATTTTTTTCCTTGACACCTCTCGTGTTCAGCAGATGCTAAGTTTGTGTCTCGCTTAAATCTTCAGCAATTCATGGAGATAGAGCCAGAAATGCTTGCTATGGAAACCATTGTGCCAGTCTACTTTGCAGTGGAAGATGAGGAGCTGCTGTCTATCTATGAACAAACACGGGCTGCTTCTGCATCACAGGGCTCTGCCTCAGCTGCAGAAGGTGAGTTCTAGCAAGGAGAAACAAGTTCTGAGGAAGACAGGCCTGTTCCCACCTCTGGGAGGAGTCTGCTGTGTCATCTGCACCATGAACCAGTGTTCTGTCACCTTGGTGTTTATTCTGTCTTTGTCAAAGTGTTTAGAGATTCAGTGGAAGAAAAGCACAGTATAAGAAAGCATTACTTGACTATATTTGGACATACAGTTGCAGGAAGTTCTCAGCTTCACACTGTTTCAAGTAAGGTAGAAATCAAAACTAGGTTAAATCAACATTGAAAATGTTAAGTGGTGATGGTGTGTTGGTAGAAGCTGAAGCTTTTTGTCTGACCACAAGTCAGTTTGATGCTTCCATGTAAATAATATGAGTGACTTATTGACCTGCTGCTTATGACTAATTTTAGTTCTGCTGGGGAAAAGCTTTTGACCAGCCAAAATACTGGGGTTTTAGGACAGTATGAAAAAGCACCAAGATTCTGTGTCATTGCATAAACACCAGTGACAAGTGAGAGGGCTTAAATGGTTTAAAGCTGGTCTCTCAAAGTTCAGTTACAGGGGGAAAGGAAGGCATGAAACTTCCCCAGGTGTACAATGTGGGGGTTTTTTTGGTGTTTTTGTTTCAGTTCTGCTGCACACAGCAACTGCCAACGGCTTCCAGATGGTGACCAGTGGGGCTCAAAGCAAAGCTATCAATGACTGGCTCATCCCCAGTGTGGAGGTGAGTTGTGGATGGATTCAAACTGGCAACATTGATGAGGTGACTTCTTTTATTGGGATTTTATCAGACATTTGGTCTGACAGGGCAAGTCAGGGAGTCTCAGTATCTGAAGTCCTCACAACTGAGGCCACAGCAGATTCAGCAGGAATGTAGAAGTCAGGCTGTCCTTGTACAGGCACACAAGAGGTGATGGGGAATGACACTGCTCTCTTTCCTCTTCAGGGAAGGCTGACAGGGCTGGGTGGAGAAGACCTGCCCACTGTTGTGATAGTTGCCCACTATGATTCCTTTGGAGTGGCTCCAGTGAGTATTCTTTTCCTGCAGCTCTCTGTTCCTTTTCCCTCTGCCCATGAGTCTTGGCATTAAGGCTGTGGGGCAGTTACAAGTGGAGCACAGTGCTGTGCTGTTCTGGTAGCTGATTGTCAGTGTAGTTTGTCACCCTGTGTCTGTCCCACCCCATCCTGCAGTGGCTGTCCCATGGGGCTGACTCCAATGGCAGTGGAATCTCAGTGCTGCTGGAACTGGCCAGGCTGTTCTCTCGGCTCTACACCTACAGAAGGACCCATGCTGGGTGAGGAACTGCTCTGTTTGGGGTTAGATGTGTGTAGCTGACACGTGGAGGGATGATGTGGGAAGCAGATTCCATCCTCAAGCACTGGGAGCTCCCCACTTTTCATTTGTCCCGCCATTACCTGAGTATGTGCCATGTGGGAAGTGTTAATGGACAGTTTGCCTTGGATGTCAGTGCAAGTGGTTGTGATTTCACCACACCTCCAAGGCTGAGTGCAGGAATTCTTGGAGAGCAGCATGCTAACCCTTTTCTGGTTCTTTTTTGGGCAGGTATAACTTGCTGTTCTTTGCATCTGGAGGTGGCAAGTTTAATTATCAAGGAACTAAGCGGTGGCTGGAGGATAATTTGGACCACACTGGTGAGTAAGGGGCTGGTTGTGTTAAAAGTCTATAATTAATTATCAGCTCTCCTGTGAGAATCTTCTTGTGTGAGTCTTGCTTTTTTAGGGGTGGAAATCCCAGCATAAGACGTAGCAATAATTTTTTGATTTTTTCTGTTCCAGATTCCAGCCTTCTGCAGGACAATGTAGCATTTGTTCTCTGCCTTGACACTCTGGGCAGAGGCAATAGCCTTCATCTTCATGTCTCCAAGCCTCCCAAGGAGGGCACCTTGCAGCATGCATTTCTGAGAGAACTGGAGACGGTAAGGAAAAGCTTTTTAGGTTCATGGGAACTTGACTTACTATACAGCTCTCCATGAGAGGAAGGAAGATGTGAAAGAGTGTGCTATTGAAATAATTCTTGTATTGTTTAGAATCACTTGATTTGAAGTGCAGACAAATCCTCATGCCACAGTCCCAAGTGAAGCAGACTAGACCTGCAAATGTTACCCTGTACAGACATTAAAACAGCTCTTTTTGACCTGAAAATCCAGCTTTAATAATGTCAATAACTGCACCTCACATTCTGGAGCACACAGAAATGGGTGCAGGCAGACAGGGCAGTGCAGGGTGGGACTCTGCAGCAGGCAGCACCCCTGAATGGCCTCCCCTTGTCCTCAGGTTGTTGCCAGCCAGTTCCCAGAGGTGAAGTTCTCTATGGTGCACAAGAAGATCAACCTGGCAGAGGACATGCTGGCGTGGGAGCACGAGCGCTTCGCCATCCGGCGCTTGCCGGCGTTCACCATCTCGCACCTGGAGAGCCACCGGGACAGCCTGCGCAGCAGCATCATGGACAGCAGGTGAGGGGCCCTGATGCCCAAATCCAGCCCAGGAACTGCCCTCACAACTGCTTGTGCTGCTCTGATGGTCAGGGCACAGGTGACAGATGGTGGGAGTTGGGCTCTGGTTTCAGGCTCAGTGAAAATGGTTTTTTCTGGAGGAAGTTGATGTCATTGCAAGTCCATGATCCCCTTTTTTGTTTTAGGGCACGAATAGACACTAAAGCACTGACCAGGAATACTCAGATCATTGCTGAGGCTTTGACAAGGGTCATCTACAATCTAACAGAAAAGGTAAGAGGTACCCACCATGCAGTGCTGGCCAGACTTGTCCTGCCCAGCCAAGCTCAAAAATAACCTGGGTTGGTTTCTTATTCCATTTTCTCTTGCAGGGAGCACCTGCAGATATGCAGATCTTCACAGATCAGATGGTAAGCACAGTACATTATTTTTTGTAACCTGTGGAACCTAGAGTCTGAGAGAGAGATCTGATGTGTGTTTGACTCCCTTTCTTTGGTGGTATTTTTCTGCAGGAAATCCAGCAGGAGCAACTGGAGTCAGTGATGGACTGGCTGAGCAGTCAGCCCAGGGCTGCCCAGCTGATTGATAAGGACAGCACCTTCCTCAACACCTTAGAATATTATATGGGACGTTACCTGAAGGATGTCAAGCAGCACCACGTGAAGGCAGACAAACGGTAAGAAAAGACATGAAAGAACCAGCCAGAGCATGCAAACTGGCTTCCTCCTGGACAGAATTGTCTCTGAGCTGCAGCTTTCCTGGGTTCTTGACATGCAGCTTTGTTCTTCTGTGCTCTCCTGTCAGTTTTGGTTCATGCTTGGTGTTCTCACAGAGAAAGCTGCTCGTGATTCTTCACAGCACAGGCACAAGGCCCAGCAGCTCCCTCTGTCTGAAAAGCTTGTTTTTAATCTGTTTTGGTTCCACTCTTCCCACTCTGAGAGCAGGAGAGGGCTAATTTTTGGTTAATTACAAAAAAGCAGCTTCCATCCTGTTGAACCTGCTCGGGCTGAAGCTGTTTTAGTGAACAGAGGGAGGAATCTTTCATGTTCAGCCTCTTTGGAGACAGCTGAACACCAGCATGAGTTCTGAATTGTGTCCTTGGGCTCCTGATTGTAGGAAAAGAAAGTCCTGATTACTAAAACCAGCTCAAAACCAGTGGGGGGGGTGGTCATGCTTGCCTGGGTGGGTGAACTTGGGAACAGCTCCGGGCTGTCCTGACTGCAGGGTCAAGAAATGCAGCAGAATCTGAAAAATTTCTCCTTTGCACAGGGACCCTGAGTTTGTTTTCTATGACCAGCTGAAGCAGGTGATGAATGCCTACAGGTATGGAACTCCCTTGGGCATGCTGGGCTGTTGTCTCACCCCCTGGCAGGAACTGCTGTAGCAATTTCATGTGCACTTTTCCTTATTCCAGGGTCAAGCCAGCAATCTTTGACCTGCTCCTGGCTGTCTGTATTGCAGCCTACCTTGGTGTTGCCTATGTTGCAGTGCAGGTAAGAGACACAGATGAATTATTTTCCTTATAAAACAAGTTAGGCTCAGGAGTTCACACAGTGTCAGCACTAAAGCTGGAACAATAATGCCACTTACCTGTGCTGTAGGCAGTTTCTTGCCATTCTGGTTTTTAGAGCTGTTTCTTGTGCTCAAGGACATGCATAACTCATTGCTAACCTATTTTGGCTTCAAACTAAAACTTTACAACAAATTTTAGTTACCTTGGTAATTTAAAGGTTTGTAGCTTGTGCTATTAGGAAATATTTAAACTTGGGATGCAGCTTAGAATTTTAATTTAGAATTTTAACTTAAGGTTTGTAGCTTGTACTATTAGGAAATATTTGAACTTGGGATGCAGCTTAGAAATGCATCTTCAGAATTCTGAAGATGCATTTTCTTTTTCAGTGAAACCAGAAATACATCCTGTGTCCATACCTCTGCAAATGTGATACTCCATGCCTTGGCCAGCCAAATTTAATGTTTTTCTGTCAGTGTTAACCAAGACAGTGTGAGCAAGGCCTTGTTCCTGCCTGGATTCATGAAAGACATGAATAAAAGGGAAGCTTTTTAGGTCACTCTCAGTTTTGATCACTTTGTGTTATTTGTGTCTTATTATTTGTTTAGGGAAACGACAGGCATTTAAAATGTGTAAGAATATAAACAAAGGGAAAAAACATACTTTGATTTCTATTAGCAATCTTCATTAGTTCTGTTATTTGAATTTGAAATTATTTGAAGCCTGGATCGTGTTACATCTGTCAAATGTCAAATCAAAATACAATCAACCCCAGCAAAATCAAAAGAGGAATTAAGTGAATTTCTAAGTCACTGGGGAAATGGTGAAAGAGAAGATCCAGTTAAAGAATTGTGAATTGCTGGGAATCTCTGTTTGCCTGGTTCATTTTTACCTTCCTGAAACTGCTGGCAGCAGTGTTTCTATAGAGACCAGGAACCTGCATATGTTGGAATCTGAAGCTTTCTCCTCACCTTCAGAAGGAACAGAATTGCATTAAAAATGAAAACTAAAAAAATCTTTAACACATCTTCACAATGAGGTGATACAGACCTGCACAAACACTTCTGTAAGCCATCATTTTCTGCATAACTTGGCTTCCTTGTCATAATTCCTCATCCATCAAGTCCCACTCCATCTCCAGGATGAGTGGTTGATGCAAACAAGGCTCTGCATTTGCACACTGGTATTGTTTTAAGCCTTCTGCTAAGCTGTGTGTTTAGAACTGCCATGGTTACTTTTTTTCCCTTCTGTTTCCAGCACTTTGGTCTCCTTTACAAGATGATACAGAGATTATCCCTTAAAACCAAGCAGCAGTGAAGCACCAAGTCCCCCCACCCAGCAGCACTGAGCCATCGGTGAGCCCATTGGGAACCTCTGCCTTCCACTGAACCCTGCTGTTCCTTTTCCTTTGTCTCCTCTTTGCTACTGTACAGAGGGGAGGAAGGCATAAAGAAAATGAAATTTTAACTCTTGTGCACCTTTGAAGTGCTTTTCTTCACCTTCTTCCCCTGACTTGCACCATGTCTGGTTTTCCTTTGCATTTGGGTGAGGGAGAGGCTGAGAGATTTCAGCAATTCCTGCAGTCTGATTTTGGGCAGCTTCTCTGAGTGTCACCCAAAGTCCAGCACCTTCATGGACACTGTCACACAGCCAGCCTGGAAACTGAAACTACAGCCTGACATGGTATCTCTGCCCAGCAAACAAGGACTTGGAGCAGTTGTTTAAAAGAAAAAAAACCAAAAAGTGCACATGCAAATTAAAGAGAATGCAATTAGCTTGTTTCCTTATGGCACCTCTTCCTTGAGTTCACTGCCTGGCTTCAGGGAGTTGTGCTGAGCAAGCAGTGTCTGCAGCAAGCACCTTCTTGCAGTTTGTTCAAACTCACCCCCTTTTAGGAGGTGCACTGGGAGTGATCTTGAGTTATTACCAGGATGAGGAAAGATTAGGATGGGTTTCTGGCATGAGGGTTCTGCCAGGGACAGGTTCTGTCCTGTCTCTCTTGCAGGATGCATTTTTGCTGTGTACTTGATTTCTCTGGAGGTTTTTGGTCCTTGAACAGTTCACAGCTGCCACCACTCTGTGCTAAACTCTTGCTTGATTTTTGAGGGGTGTTCCCTACTCCAGCTGCTGCAGGATCATGTTCTGTGCTGTCCCATGTACTTACACAAGCTGGTTCTGTTTGTAACAAGGGAAGAGCAGCTCAGACATGGAAAATTTATTGAAATACTACAAGCCCTAGGCTAGTTGTAGGTCTAGGAGATAACCCTGAGCATTGTCCTGCCACCCAGCAAGTTTTGAGTCCTTTTCTGTAAGCTCTTCTGTGTACATGAGCTCTCTTCACATGCCACAGTGACGCTTAAAAAAAAAATTAAGCTACTACTTGTAATTAAAGCAGCATATCTTACAGAGGCTGAAAAGCTATTTTTGAATTGAGGTGGACCTTTTTTCCTTTGAATGCAAGGAAAATTCCAGCTGTGGATTCCTGTCTGCACATGCTTGTTAGAAAAGGGGTGGTTGTGGCCAGTCAGTGTCCTTTGGATGGGCACCAAAGCACTGATTTCCATCCTCCTTTGTTTATTTTACTGTAATATCCTTCCTGGAGTACCCTTACCCCACGATTTGTCTTTCTGCTACTTTAAATATGTAGCAATTTGTTCTTTAAGGGGTCTTGTCTTTTCCAGGAAAGCCTGCTGGTGTCAGTGGCTCACCATGGTGCCAGCATGGTGCCAAGCACTCCAGAACTATCAGCCACACTGGGAATCTGCCTTTTCCTCATCCTCTGAGTGCTCATTTGAAATGTGTCTCTCTGCATGCGTGAAGTGCTCATGGCACTCCTCTGCCAAATGAATTTATAATGACTTCAGAAGTTGCTGGAGTGGCTGAAAGGCAAGCCTTGATTGTTTTCCACTGGTTTTTATGCTCTGCCCATAGAGACTGCATCTGCTGTGCCCTGGGGAGCTGCATGCCCTGGGCTGGCTGGGTTAGAACATGCATGGTACAGTGGCTCTCTGAAGAACTCTGTAGGCTCTGAATATCTGGGAGTAGTTTGAGTCCTCCAGCTGCAGCATCCATTTGTGGTGTGTTCCACCACAGGAGGTGGTGTTCCCTCCAGTCTAGCAGATTATTTCACCAGTCTTAATGATTAACTCCATTACTTTGCTGAGAAAAATAGGAAAATAGTATCAGCAGTGCTGCTGCAGCTTGAGTTGATGTGTGTAAAATTTGGCAATAGTGGGCAAAAGTGAACAGAACAGACCTGGAGCTTGTTCCTTGCTGTGGAGACTGTCAGCCTTCAGTCTTCCAGATGGGCAGCTCAAAGTTCAGAATCAAAAACTTCCACTCAGTGTGTTTGCAGAGGCTGTAGCACAAAGAAACACCTTAGCTCTGTGTGGTCTCAGCAGTGAACTGTTAACACTCCTGACGCAGTGCCAGAAGCCAGTGGAAACAACCTAAAATAAAGATGGGTAAGATTAATGAGGAGAGTTCATAAACCTGAGGGGCAGTTGGGATGGCGCATTGCTCTCTCCCACACAATGGCAGTTTGTCCTGTAATCCTTTTGTGTCTCTCTCCCTGGCTGCCATAAAAAGTAGTTTTTACAACAGATAAAAGAGATTTTGCTTTTGATCAAAGTGCACGTGCACTGAAACATAAATGCTCAAATCTGAGATAGTCAAATCCCAGCTTCCTCATAGCTGGAGCAGAGTGCCCATCCTGGGATTGAATTTAAATCCCAACTTCCTCATAGCTGAAGCAGAGTGCCCATCCTGGGATTGAATTTAAATCCCAACTTCCTCATAGCTGGAGCAGAGTGCCCATCCTGGGATTGAACTTAGTTCCCACATTGTTGTTTCCTTAGGTAAGTCAACAGAGAAGCTTGCAAAGAGCCCCTGGAGCTGATCTGCACTGCAGCATAACTGATCAATTCAGTCACCAACACAAAGGCAGCAATCCAATAATAAAATAAAAGTTCTCCACAATGTTGCAGAAGAGCTGTGTAGCTGATTCTTATTGCCCTTATTTTTACCTGTCCTCTTTTTCTGAGGAGTTTGCCTGGCCTGTAGGGGAGAGCATGGAAGGCATTATATCCACATCCACACAAGTGGCTGGCAGTTGATACTTCTAGCCAGAAATCCATTTTCTTTGCTATTTATCTGACTTCACCTGTTGTCCTGGTGCTGTCAGAGTCTGCAGCTCACAAAGAACTGGTTTTCCAGCAGGGTTGAACTGAAACTGTTAATTCCTTCTGCCCACTTCCACCTACATGGGCACTATTGGGAATTGTTTGGGAGTAATTTGGATTATTGTAGTTCATCTCCCAAATGAGAGGGGTTGGTTTATTGTTGGGAGAGAAGTAATGCTGTGCAATATGAACTCCACTCCTCTACTCAGTGCAGAGAAAATCCTGAAGGCAGAATGGAATTAGGTCTCCCACTATCTGTGGCTGAAAGTCACCACAATCTATTCTGACACTCAAAACCACAGCTATACCCAAAATTGCTGTGGGGCTTCGTTTTGAGGGTGTTTTGTTTGTTTTAAATCTCACGCTCTTACATTGTTCATGGCCCAAGCCCAAATCCCAGGCTGCTCCTGCACCCCATGTTTAAGCTGGGTTTCACATTTCATTTGGTCTTGACTCACCAATCTGAAATGCTGGGGCTGCTCCTGGATGTCTCAGAAAATTGGGCCTCTGGGTACTTGACTGTGGACTCCTGCTTGCTCACTTTAATCTGTTTAGTTTCTATTTGTAGTTACTGCATAGCAACTCCAAGGTTATAATCTGGAATATTTGCAGCTCAGGAAAATGATTTGATTTATCTAGCAACGTTAACTCAATTATTTATCTCTTGTGTGCCCTGAAGAACAAATGTATATTGAGGTGAATATTTAAAAGCTAATAGAAAATTCAATGCAGTTGATTTACATATTTTAGGACTGTAAATGTAATAATATTTAAGTATTTTAACTTTGGGTTTTTTTTATTTGTTTGTCCCTTTTTCCCTTGGAAAATAAACCAAGTGAATAGGTTTGATGGATAGATTTGTCAGAGAACTATTTGCTCACAAAAATGGAATCTCCTTGCATTATTTAGAAGAATAGACACCTCTACAAAATGGGAGAAAAATCTATGTATTTAAAAGCTTCATCCAGTCTAGTCAAAGTGTAAAATAGTAACAGAAAACATTTACACACTCCGAGCATGATTCCAGCACCTTGAGGTGAGCAAATTCCTGTTTATTCCGAAGGTTTGTGCTCATGTGAAGCAATTAAAGATTCTATGCAAAACAGCTTTGGTACTGTGAAAAACTGGTTACCTCAGCAGCCAGCACTGCGTGCTCATGGAGATTGTTGTGCCTCTGTCCTTACCCAATGCCTATTTGAACACTAAACTATTTATTCCAATTACAAGCATTGCAAGAGATCTGTTCCCTGAGCATGACTTTGTCAGAGTCATGGTCAGAGGTGTGGAGTGGCAGAAGGGGAGAGCTGGGTGTGCTCACCCTGGTGCTGAGTTCAGCACCAGAACCCTGAGGGCTTCTCCTTGGGAAAGAAACCCTTCCAGAACCAGCAGCGTGTGGGGCTGAGCAGTGTCCCCACAGTGACACAGGGTGGTGACACAGGCAGCCCTTTGTCAGTGTTTAATAAGAAATGACAGAGTCATCAGAAGGCTGAGTTGCATAAGCACATCTTTACCTGGAACCACTTCTTTTATACACTGATTGATACAGGTGGATCTGATTGGTCATTTAATCAATGCATTTCACCTGATTGAAAATCAGGTATCCTCAGAATGCATTTGAGGAACGGCTGAGGGAGCTGGGGGTGCTCAGCCTGGAGAAAAGGACACTCAGGGTGACCTTGTCACTCTGCACAGCTCCTGGAAGGTGCCTGTGCTCAGCTGGGGCTGGGCTCTTTCTCCAGGCAGCACTGACAGAACCAGAGCACACAGCCTCCAGCTGTGCCAAGGGAAATTCAGGTTGGATATCAGGAAAAAGTTTTTCAGAGAAGGGGGGGATAAAGCTCTGGAATGGCTGCCCGGGGAGGTGGTGCAGTCCCCATCCCTGGGGGTGTTTAACAAAGCCTGGATGTGGCACTGGGTGCCAGGGTTGAGTTGAGGGGTTGGGGCTGGGTTGGACTCAATGATCTTTAAAATCTCTTCCAACCTCGTGATTCTGTGATTGGCTAATTCACAAGACACCCATTTATAAACAATCTTATGAGAATAACAAGAGAACAGATATTAGGGAAACAACACCTGCAGGTTGTTTTTAATAATTGGTTATCATTGTTTATCTCCAGCTCCCTAAAGTCTCGCAGGCCAATTCTGGGGAGACTTACCTACTTTCCTTACTCTCTGACCAGTCTGTCACACACACAGTGCCCACAGGTCCTGAGGTGACAGGAGCATCTCCAGTGCCAGCCCTGGCCTGGCTCTGCTGCTGTCCCACCCTGGGAGGGTGTACCCCAGCTCTGGAAACGTGTCATCATTGTTCTCTCTACACTACCTCTACCTCCTCTGCTTGTAACAGTGCATTTCTGGAGCTGGGGTACCCAAAACCACAGTGCATTTCTGGGGTGCCCATGAGCTGGGGTACCCAAAATCACAGCCCTCTCATGGTGCAGGGCAGGTATGGCCTCAGCAGCCCCGTTCTGGCCATTCCAGGGCTCTGCTTCCTTCTCCACTTCCTTGCCAGCATCAGGGACATGTGGCTGCCTGTCCGTGGGTCCCTGAGGCTGCTGCTGGGGATGTCAGGGTGCCAGGAGGATGCTGAGGTGCCAGGAGGTCCTGGCTCGTCACACCAGGCTGTTCAAAGTGGTGACGTGTCCTTCTAGAAAAGAAAGAAATGTCTTCTAAGTCAAAGGAAAGGTTGAAAACAAAGGTGGCAGAAGAGACACTGGGACAAAGGCAGTGAAGAGGAGGGAGTATTGCAGTGATGGAGAGCAGAGCTGCTCTAGAAATGTATCATCAATGTTCTCTCTACACAAGTCTCCCCTCTACCTCCTCTGCTTGTAACAGTGCATTTTTGGAGCTGGGGTGCCCACTGTGCCCTCACAGCCCTCTGGCACGTGGAGCAAAACCCCACAGGCTGAGGGGCAGCTCATTGCAGGGCTGGATTTAACACAGGCTCTGTCGTGTCATTATCACAGAATCACAGAATTAACTAGGCTGGGAAAGACCTTTGAGATCACCTATAATGATGTCAGTGCCCTGCTTTGAAGGGAAGGTCACTGGACAGCAGGGAGTTCTTTGCTGACAGGAAGGGTGGTGTGAAAGCAGAGAGGAAGAAGGTGCATCTGCCTTCCCTGGATGGAGAGTGGGGCTGTGGCAGCCACCCCACTCCAGCTTGGCCTGGCTCTCTCTGCATGGCACGTTGAGAGACTGGGAATTTGTACCAGAGAATAGCCTGTCAGGCCTGTGCGACTCATGAAAGGCAATTAAAGATTTTACTCTCAAATGGTGCTTCTATGGTTGCACTGACTAGTTCTTCTAGGGGTGCTGAAGTGCTGATACTGACTTCCATTTGATTGACCATCTTTGAGTCAGATGGCTTGTACTCCTCATGCTGGCATCCTCTCTGTTTCCTCCACGTGCCATTCTGGGTTTTTTTCAGTGAAGGTATTATTCTACTTTAGCAACTGGTTTGTCTGTAGAGATTAAAAGGATTATTAAAAGGAGAGACAAACAACTCTTAGGCACCCTTCTCTGTAGGTTGCTGTTGGATTTCCTTTTTAGGAGAGTGCTCTGTGGTGGTTTTTTCTCATGGTGTGTTCCTAAATACTCCTGCTCTACAGAAGCAGTCAGGCAGCAGTCTACTCCAGGTCATGGGAAGGGCACACTAGAATATGAATCATTCAAAGGAACTGCTAATTAGGAGGCCTGTTAAATAGAGGGGAAGTTAAAGAATATCCCTTTCCCTGTGGCAGAGAAAAATGACAAACTACAGAAAGATTGGAGAGAGGATTTTTTATGCTCGAGCTCTAAATGGATCCCACTCTGCAATCAGCTGCAGCAAGCACAGCCTTCCTCAGCAAGGCTTTTCCAGACCTTACAACAGCTTGCGTCTTCCATCTATTTTTGGTTTTTCTCTTGCCCTGGTTTCCATAGTATCTGAATGCTTCATGCTCTTAAATATATCTGACACTTACAGCACCTTGGTGAAGTAGGAGGTACAAAGGGCCTTGCTCTTTGGAGCTGCTGGAGCTGCAACAGCCCAGGGATGTGTGGAAGATGTGGGGTGGAGTCCTGAGTGAAAAATGTGCTTTTCTAGAGGCTGGATTTGTCACTGCTGGGTTAGGGGTAGCAGGAGAAAAGAAATCCCCATAAAACTTCTGAAAAATATTTGAAGGGCTCAGTGGTGTAGCTGCTGGGAGCAGGGGTGGAGATGAGTAGATCTGGTGACTGCCACATTCTCCTCTAATCCTCTCTGCTTTCTTCACATGCCACATTTCTTTCTCTCAGGTAATGAGAACATGAGGACAACTAGGTTGTGTCCTGAAGCCGAGTTGCTCATGCTGTGGGCTTATTCCTGTAGAATATTTTTAATATAATATCTTAATCCAGTGTAATGGGGAGTAATGGGAAGATGGAGAATTGACCAAAAAGAAAGAGATGAGTGAGACGCAGATGCTGTAGGGATGACCCCAAGATTCTAGGAATGCTCAGTCCTTTTCTTTTTAAGGGATACCCAGATGACAGCATGTGACAGAAACAACCATCTCTGTGCTCCTGGAATGTTTGGGGAGCACGGGGAGAAGCCAGATCAAATCAGCAGAGCTCAATATCTTTGCTGATTAAAAGCAGGTCCAAACTGAACTCAGCTCAATTGAATAGTGCATGATTTAGAGCTGAGGAGTTCATTATTTGGGAAAGGACAGCCCTGTGCCATTGTTTCCTGACCAACTTGCTTTCAAGCTTTGGAAGAAACTGTTTGCACACAACCCAAACTTATTCCACGAGGTGGTGTGTTTTTATTTTTTTATTTGGGTTTTGTTTTGCTTTTGAAATCAATCCTCAAAGAACAGCTGCTTTTGATCACAAAGATATCTGGAATCTGTGATGGTCACTTCCAGTTCACCCACTGTGACAACTTGGGTCAAAAAATCCACAAGCCTCTAAACTTAGTTAATTTTTGGGTTCTTGCAAAGTTAAAATGTTAAAACTCCCTAGTTCTGAATTGGTGGGTAAAACAGATACTCAATGAAAGCTAAACAGCAAGGTCTTGGTGGACAAGAGAGGATAAAAGCTGATGGCAAGTTATATCCTTTTACACAGGATATTTTTCTCTTAGGCTGGCAGTCTGGCTGCAGAATCTTTTACACCAGACAAGAAGCAATCACATTAGAGGAATAACTTTTGTCTCCCTGAGATACTGTCTTATTGCTTGGATATTTTCTGCCAGGACTGTCTTACCTTGTCCTTTGGCTCTTCTGCCTGGGGAACAAATCGGTAAGGAAAGGCAGACTGTTTTAAAGGACCTTTTTTTTTTCCCCCCCTTTTTTTTTTTTTTTTTTTCTGAGCTGTGGTGAGGATTTTCTGCCTTAAATGGTGTCTCCTAGGTGATGTAGAAATTCAGAGCTCCAGTTTGTATTTTCTCCATTCCTCATTGCCTTTAGGAGCTGGTAGGACTAGGCAGGCACTCCTAAGGCAAAATGTACCTGGCTGTTCCTGCACCATTTGTTTGAGCCCTTTTCAGATCTGGGCCACTGGACCTCTTCACGTTTCATCTTAAGCTGCCCCATCTAAATACAAATACTCATATGCCACAAGAAACCAGGCAAGTCTAGATGTGCGTAAGGAAAATATTTTGGGTGTTTTTCACTCGCAAATATTTCTGCAAAAGAGCAACTTTATGGGTATACAATGTGGGTTTCTTCTAACACCTTTTTTTGAAGCAGCATCTCAGGTTTGGGCAGAATCTGTCCCCTCACCCCTGGGAATTGTGCATCTGAGCTCTGCTGTGCTCTTTCTAGCACTCTTGTGTAGACTCCTCCATGACAGATGCAACATGTTTCTTCCTCTGCACAGGTGACCTCTCATTTCCCTTTTTCTCTGTCTTGGTGCTAAGATTTCTTTTATCTTCCCCTTAATCCTGTTACTGTGGTATGTAATTCTCTGTCTGGCTCTGTAAACCCCAGGTGCTGATTGACAGCTGTTCTGTTTTTCATTTACCAGCAATATTTTCATGTCTGTTGTTCTTTACTGCAGTCAGGGTGGTTTTAGTATGTCCATTCATGGACTCCAAAAGAGACTGGACTTATCTTTCCTTCTAAACAGACATTTTCCA